GTATTTATAGCTCATCCTTCCAAGGGCGATGAGCCGTGGGCTTCAGTGCTCAGATGACCATCTTGTAGAGAACCAGGAACAAATTAGGTGCTTAGCACATGCTGTCGAACAAAGGGAGAAGGGCTGTGGCCCAAAGCCCAGCACATCTAAATAGAAAGGCATCACAAGAGAAATTTACCTCCCATTACTAACGTGATTCTTAATTGTGACAGTCACCTCTGGAGCAGTCACATTGTCCCAGCACTTTCATGGGACAGGGATGTGTGTCCCTTCATTGACCCCTCACAACGCGTCTGAGAGTGGAGATGTAGGCACTTCATCACTAACTCAGGAGGTGCTCAGAGACGCTAAGTAACTTGCTCTGAGACACAGAGCTGGCAAGGGGCAGAGTCTGTGTTCAAGGCAGGTGTGCCCTCTGCCACTCATGGCCAAGCTCCTCCCACCAGGCCGCAGGGAGGCCAGTGATGCCTCTGAACGCAGAGTCCACGATGTATCTCTGCCTCCGGCGGGTGGGGGCGGGGAGGTTTCTCCTTACTTGTCCTTGTTCGCTAGTTTTTCTACCCAGGACACCCGCTCCCCAGTTTCCCCATGGCGGCTCCAGCTTATCAGTCAGACAGACAGGTATCTCCTCACGAGCGGGACCGGAGAGCCCCTCCTGTCTCATCACCCCCACGTCAGGCCCTGCACACAGCTGGACTCAAGGATGTGTGGGGACAGCTGGACGAGGGCAGGGAAGGAAGGTGGTGAGTCTGTCAGAGGGAGCGGAGACCTACTGAGCTCCGGTTTAAATGTACAGAAACCAAGAGGGTCCTGGGTTATCTTAGAAAAGGCTTGCAGAGGCCTCAGACAAACGCGGCCCAAGCCGGCTGCACCTGGGCAAAGCCTGGACAATCGGCCCTTGCCCCATGATAGTTGGGTAGCTCCCCTCACTTGTCTGTTTCCCCACTGTGACTGTCACTCATGTTCCAACCTCAACCTCAGAAAGGCCCAGAACGTTGACTCACACAGGCAGAATCGGGCAGAGGGTTCCGGGCCTGACATTAGACTCCACAGTCCTGATTTGGGGGGGTTGGAACCTGAGCAGTGGATGGGGTGGAGGCAGGACCATCGAAGGAAAGGAGAATGGTCAGGGTCCCAGGAGCCCTGGGAGGATGGGGGTCTGACAGGCCAGGACCTCCGAAGAGGCCTGAGGCTCCCCCAGGCCAGCAAGTGGGCTGCCTGGGCAGGGCGCTGATGGTGTCAGGGCCCCAGGCTCCTGCACACTGACTGGTGACAAGTTGTGCCTTTGCTCGTGTGGGGTCCTCAAACACCATCCCCACACGCCTAAGCTTTCTGTGCCAGGCTTGGTTTTGTGTGTCCTTTGTACTCGGCCTGGGGCCACCTTTCTGGAGAACATTCTTCACTCGGGCTTGGGTAGCCTCTCCTGGCTCCGGAAGCCTCTCCTTTAGTTTGTCCCCATCGTCGCATTTATTCCACTGCACTGTGACTGGCTGTCTGCCCCTCTCGGGGCTCCTCGAGCGTTGGCGTTGTTCGTCTTCGTGTCTTCAGCACCGAGCAGAGGGCCTGGCCAGAGTGGGGATGAGCTGGGGAGGAATATATACTGGTAATGCGAACACCTCCTCATCACTGTCCATCAGTCTCTAATCATGCAGGAAGGACGTCGCTTTCTCTTGCCTTATAGGAGCCTCCCAGCTGTGCTCGGAGGGCGACGAGCATCCTTGTTTTCCAGTTGAAGCTAATGTCCCTGTTGGTGGAAGGGTTTGTTCTGGATCATTCTGTCGGGGAGCTGCCGAGCCAGAACTCCATCTCCTGCCTGACTCAAAAATCATATAGTTTCTTGCCTGTAAGGCGGTGATACCCAAACCTGGCTGAGGCCCGTTAAGGGTGATGTAAAAACAAACACATTCCTTAAAGATATGATAAAAATGCAGAGTTCAAGGGAGAAAGAGGGAGACGAAAGATGATTGATAGATAGATGACACATAGATGATAGATAAGAAAGCAATTATAAACGGTACATAAAACAGGAGGCTAAACCATGACATTATGGTTTAAACAGAAATTGCTCTAAAACGTTGCATGATTTTAAGCAACTGATGCAGTATAATAAGAGAGACTCTATCTGCTCCTAAGACTAGAAACATCCCTCTGTAAATGCCCTGAGGGTGTATCCAGACTAGGAGAATACAGCGTATTTTTCTAGCAGACTCTTTGGCCTCTGAACAATATGCGTAAAGTCTCAATGTGATACATAAAGTTTGCTGGGTTTCAGTTGTTGGAATTAACCCCAGGGAACAAAGCATGGAAGGCTTAGGTGAGGCTGCAGGACAAAGGACATCTAAGCGCATGGGCAGTAAAAGAGAAAAAGGAGAAGAAAATAATGAGGTGCTCTAAGGATGCAAGTTAAGTAGCAAGCTAGGAAAATTGTTGGAAAGCTGACGGAATGAGAAAAATACATCGCCTAGAATTACAATAGTAACCTAAGGGAAAAATAAGATGTATACTGTTATCCAGCTTTGGAAGTATGTGAGGGGAGGCTGAATGGGGTTAAGGGATCTGAGCTGTCACCTTCCTCAGCAGGAAATCAATGGAGCAAAGTGGACAGATCACACGTAGCAGTAGTATTCAGACTATTGAGAGGCACTGGGGTGACCAAACTACAATGCAAACTGTAAAAGGAAAAGGCGTCTGCACAACGGGATTATGGCAGACGGGGGCCATGAGAGGTCATTTGTAAGTGTAGATCTTGTTAATTTGAAAATATAGATTTACGAGCCCAACCTTAAGCGTATTTATTCTCAAAAGTTGGGAACAGGAATCTGTGTTTTTCACCAGCTTCTCAGGGGACTTCCATGCGTTTAGATCTGCCTTGGGACCCCTGCCTGATGGCCTTGGGTGATCTGGGGGGAGCTGTCCTTGTTGCCCCAGCTCCGGGGGAGACCCAGCATTCCCTGAGCCCCTGACACTCCGCTGCCTCTGTTCTGGGGCTCGTGAGGTGGAGGACCTCGCGGGCCTGTGTTGCAACTTCCCTTTGAGAAAGTCACTTGCCTCAATTTCCTGCCTTTCCAGTTGCTTCCAGCTTAGAAGGAAGCTGACTCAGACCAATGACTATAGTCAGAGCGAATGTCTTCACTTAATTTCTCAATTCCTGCCTTACTGATCCTGGGGGTCACTCTGGTGCACAGGGCGAGGTGCTTCCCCTTTCGCCTGCTGAGTTGTCAGCGACTCTCGCCTTGATGCTGGGTGTACTGAATTGCAGGTACCAGAAAGCACCAGTGCCATGACCTCTGACACTAGGGCACTTGTGATCACCTGATTTTACAGCCCATTCTGAACTAAAGGAGAAAGGAGGCCTTGCAGGCCAAATCCAACCCTGGGCCAAGGATGGGTGGGTGAGACCAACTCCCATGGTCTTGGAGGCCAAGATTAGTGATGTGGCAGAGGCAACAGCTATCTACCCGATTCATCTCTGCTCACTGCACCCCAGCTTTGTTGGGACAGCAATTAGCTCCTCCTCTAGGGAATAAGTCTACTGGTCTAACTAGATCATGGTAAGCCCATTCCCTAAGAGTAGGGACACACATTTATGGGATTTCAAGGGAATGCTACTGGTAATTTCTGGGAAAGATTTTTCCTTCAAGAAAAGAAAGAGGCACTGGAAGGGAGGGCCCTTTGTGCCCAGCCCAGCTTGTTCCCTGCACAGGGTTGCTCTCAGATGGAGATGTGATGTCTGGAGCTTTGGCAGCCACATTGTGTCAGTGAAGTAAGGTGTCATCCACATGCTGAAGATAGCAAAGAGGAGGTCTGGAGAGAGCCCGGGCCCTTGATGAGATCACTGAGCCATTGCCCAACCCTAGGATCACCTGCCTCTGGGCGTATCTTTCAGTTTAGGCACATTCATTGGGTGCTTGGTACTTACAAGAGAAGCATCCTAACTGACAAAGCCTGTGATGGAGGTTAGAAGTTCCCTGAGGTTTTCAGTGCTACCACTACAGGTTTTGTAGGACATACAACGTGGCTGTAGAGCTATTTGAAGTCCAGAAAGTGCAAGGAAACAGAGACAGCAGAAGACCTGGGTTGAACACGGGTCCACCACCTCCTCCCTGTGTGAATTTAGGTACATACAAGCCTTTCTCAGCTTTACCTTCCATATCTGCAAAATGAGGTGACAGTCCCAACATACGAGTCATCGCTGAGTTTGGTCTATGTTCAAATGAGATGATATGTGTAAACACATTTTATGACATGCCATGTAAATAACAGAGACCATTAATCAGCTCCACCTGCTTTTACTTTGGGTTAAGTGTGTGTGTGTGTGTGTGTGTGTGTGTGTGTGTGTGTGTGTGTGTGATTGAGAGAGACAGAGACAGTTTTAAACAGACTGCTGTGTCCCTTAGGAGGGTGAAGGATGAAATCAGTTACTTACCGGGGAACCCAAATCAACCAAAACCTGGGGTAATAATTCTATCTCCTTGCAGCTCCCCGCTGTCACATTCAATCCAGTCCTGTCAATTCTACTCTCTAAATGGTTCTCAGATCTGTGCCTCCCCCAATCTCTACCGTTCCTCCCCTGATTCAGACCCCATTGCTCCTCGTTTAGAATATTGCACCAGTCCAGTTGGTCTCCTACTTCCTTTCCAGAACCTTCACAAGAGAATCCTTTCTTACACATAGGTAGGACTGTGTCACCCTGGGGCCTGCCCTCGATGGGGTCCCCATTTCCCGTGTCACTGCAAATGTCTGTTTACCTGCTCTCTTCTCCTTCTAGAAGGCAGGGAGGGCTCTGGCCTCTCCAGCACCCAGTACAGGGCCTGGTGCACAGAGGGTGCTCCGTGAATATTTGCTAAAAGGAAGCAGCAGCCTGGGAGTCAAACCTCAGGAAGATTATTAAGAATTAGAAGATTATGAAGACATAGTTTGGTGTCTCCCACAGACTGTCCTGAATTAACAAATCAGACTCCTCAATGTTTCACTGCATGTAGGCACTTTATTGAAAGCTAGTGGCTGTTTCAGAGAATAAGGCGCCCAGGGCGACAGCCTGGGGTGGGGCTGGCAGGGTGGGTGGGGGTGTCTCGGGCCGGTCACTTGCTGTAGCTCTTGGGGACTGGGTCTGGGAGGTCTTCCCTCAGGCCAGAGCCGGCCAGCTGGTCCTCCTCTTCGCTCTGTGCCTGTGACCCATCCTTGGCTTCATCTGAAACACAAGGGGCAAGGCTGGTCCCGTCCGGCTCAGGACTCTCCTCCCTCATCTCCTGTCTCTGATCCTAACAGACCCCAGTCTCTGATGGGAGTTCCCTACTAATGCCCCACAGAGGGACATCTTCAGGTCGCCTGGCTGTGCGGACATGCTAAGGACACGACGGGACTCAGGCTCATCAACAGAGAGCCTCTTGGCCTTGGAAGGTAAAAGCAGAGGTGAGATTCTACAACATATGTCGGACAAGGTCACTTCCCTGCTGAACGCTCCCCTCCTCTGTCTCTGCCTGAGAAACTCCTGTCACTCCGAAAGCCTCCGCCCCAGCGTCACCTCACCTGGGAAGCCTGTCCAGACGCTGGCTTGGGTGCAGACTTCCATCATGGCACCGGGAAAGCAGCACATTCGCTGGCTTATATCACTCCCTCACCCCCTCTCTCAGAAGCTACTTAAGGGCGTTGCCCGCATCTCTGAATTCCCAGTGTCCTTATTATGAATCTTTTTCTCTCCCTAACACCTCTTCAACAGGAAGCTCTTTCCAACAGGAAGAAGTAGCATGCCCACTTCGCCCCTGGCTAGAATTCACTCTCCAAGATGTTTGACCCAAGGGCAGTGAGGATGAGGTTCAAGATCCTACCTTCCCTCCCCCACCAGTATTGCAGGCTGGCTCCCCACTCAACCGCCCACAGTCCTTCCTGCCCCCAGTCCCTGCAATGTCCTCTCCCCGTGCCCCTCTCTCTCTTACTTCCTGCTTCTGCCCCATCAGAACAGGAGGCCTTTGGCAAAGAGGAGCCCCCCAGACTGTGAGTGCCCCCTTGGAGAGGGCTGGGCTGATGGCATCTCAGTAACCCAGTGGCTCCAGCACGTGCAGCACAGGCCTGATGCACAAGCAGTGCAGAAAATGCTGAGGACCGACTTACCCACCCACCCTCCACCTGGCGTCCACCTACTCCAGGCTTTCCTACCTGCTGATGCCTTCAGAGACCGGATGTACTTGGACCAGAAGGAGCAGTCAGCCTTTTTCAGGCCCTGTCGATTAGGGAGCAGGGCACTGAACTCCTTGTAGTTCTCGCCATTGGCACCGGGGACAAAGTCCGGCCAGGGCACTGCAAACTCAGGTGCTTTCCTCGAGAACTCATGAGGGTAGTTGGGATTTCTGGGAATATGAGAAGAAAGAACCATCCATGAAGGAAACTCATCTTTCGTCACTTGGGATCACATCCCACTTACACGTGGTCTCTGAGGACCAAATCACACATCTTCAGGTGTCAGCAGGATTTAACTGCTACACTTTACAGTGCAAATGATTAAAGGTACACAGGCCCCTGACTCACTCTCAGGCCATTTCTGGGAGAGGAAACACATGAGTTCATGACCCAGCAGCATCACTCAGTACCCGGCGTTGCCCTCCTATCTTCCTGAACGCTCAGGTCACTGAGCCCCTTTCTGTCCTGGTGTCTTTGATCTGGACACCTTAGCCTGCCTCTGGGATGCCTTTGTTTATTCAAGGCTTGGGCAGGAGGGCGGGCCTGGAGCCGGGCAAGCTTGTCCACCACCTATAGGTCAACCTCCCTTGGGAGGGGACATCACACCCTCTCAGACACAGGTTCCTTCCCAGACATGCCGCCCAGGTCCCTCTCCCAGCATGTCCCACCATGCAGCCCATGCTCCAGCCCCACCTGGCCTCCTGACATTCACCAGTCAAGGTGTGTGTCTCACCCCGCTGCCTTTGCTCACATGTTCCCCACCCCGCACAGTGCCCTCTTCTCCCTGGTCTACCTGAACATCCTTCATCCTCCAAGCCCCAGCTTTCAGCGTCCCTTCCTCAGAAACACAGTTTCTAAATTCCAAACTCAAAGAAATGTCTTTCCATGCAACTCCCACAAAATACTGTATAAAGTTCTATTTTGTTCTGCTTTCAGTTACGGTTGGGTTTTACGTTTCAGACTATCAGTAGCTTATAGCTGAAGGATGACTTTTTTTTTTTTACCTTTTACCTTCCTGGGGGACCTAGTACCGTGCTAATACCTAGGACCAATGCATGTATGGCAAGGAGATAAAGGGAGACAGGTAAGCTGCAGGGCGCGGGGAGTGGGGGAATGGCAGCAGGTGCTGATTTGGGATGTGGGAACAGTCAGTATGATAATTCGCCTGGAATAGAGGGATGTGGGGGAGGCTAGAGGTAGATAATGAATGGTCTTGAGCATTTTCACTTCATTGGATCATCTAAGACAGTGGTTCTCAGCTTGGGGTGATTTTTGCCTTCCGAGGAATGTGTGGCAATGCCTGAGATATTTTCAGTTCTCACAACTGGGACGGGGGTGAGGTGCTTTTGGTATCTAGTGGGTGGAGGCCCGAGATGCTGCTAAACAGCCTACAGCCCCCGGGACAGCCCCCGCCATAGAGGATTATCCAGCCCCGGTGTCAGAAGTGTCGAGCTGGGAAACCCTGACCTAGGTCCACCAAACCTGGTTGAAAGATGGAGTGTGTGATTGAAATCTTTCTTCACCAAGATTAATCTATGCAAAGCAGTTTGGGCTGGAAGGGGGAGACCAGCGGCAGGTGACTGGCGCATTTTGGGGGGAAAGGATGAGTGCATTGAGCCAAAGGCGGCCTCTGCGTTCAGTGGGGGTGTTCCTAGCATTCAGGCACGCGTGGTCCACTCACCCAGATCGGATGAAGTTGGAAAAGTATTGCATGACTTTCAGGGACACGCTTTTCTCCTCCAGAGTAAACTGCCCCTCGTAGGCAGGGTGGAAGGGAAGCCCAAAGAAATACTGAACATCGGCCAGCAGCTCCAGGCTGAGAAAACACACGGAAATAAGGACAAGCAAAAGTTAAAGGAATAATGAACCGCTGGAAAACCAAGTGAGCCCAAAGCCAATATTCCTCCCAAATGCAGACTCCTCTCTCTTCATGCTTAGGATTTCTGTCTAGTGCTTGGTTTCGCTGAGATTTCGCTTGGTCTTTAGCCCAGTGGCCCCCCTGGGGCAGACCCATGGCACATCTATTGGCTGAAGTATACCCAGTGCTGAGACTTAACTCTCTGGAGACCACGCGATCAGCAATCTTCCAAGAGAATGTTCTTTTGACCATATCCCAGCCATGGGACTTACAGTAGCAATTGAACATTCGTTTGTTCAAAATAGCCTGTATTTTGCTCCCCTTCCCTGAGCCAGCCCTGTTCCTATGCAGCGTGCACACTCGCAACTCTTCAAAGGTTGATGTGTAGCCATGTAGCCTACCCCAGGGCACTGGCTGGCACATAGTTGCAGGTCAGTAAATATACGCTATGACTGAATGAATATCTAATAAGCAGCAGGCAGGGAATCAAGCTTTGGAAGCCAGACAAGTGGTCTGAATGGGCTGAGCTGGGGCTGGCACTGGGGAGACCGGCCCAGTGGTACATGGGGCCATGGGAGTGACAGAGTGAGGCAGCTGGAAGGGGCTCACAGCTGGGCAGCAAAGAATTTGGCTTTTCCCGAGGAGAGGTCTGGCCTTTGTTCTCAATATCTGCAAGGTGATCGATGTCATAGGGTGTCTTTGTTTAAGGCAAAGGCTGGCTACACTGGACATTCCGGTAATGTGCCCACACACTACAGTGTTAGGCGGGGGCTGGCTATGCCAAAAGGCCAACCATGTGATTTAGGATGGGGGGGTCTGGGTCACATGCTATTCAAGTGGGAGACTGAGATTAACCATCTGGGCCATTAATCAATCAATCAACCAATCAATCAATCATGCTTACATAACGGGGCCCCAATAAAACCTCTGAACACCAACTTTGGGTGAGTCTCCCTGGCTGGCGCGACATCAATGCCGAGAGAGCCACCCCTCCTGACTCCACAGGGAGAGGACGATGGAGCCCTGTGTTTGGAACCCTCCTGGGCTCTGAGCTGAGAGGCTCTTCCCCTGGCTGGTCTTCATCTGTATCCTACCCTTGTGACAACCATCATGGAGAGCGAGCAGCTCTCAGTGAGGTCTGTAAGTCTTTCTAGTGGATGATCAAAACTAGGGGCAGTTTCGGGAACCCCCTGAACTTGCACTTGGGGCCAGAAGTGAGGAGGTCTTGTGTGGGGACTGTGTTCTCTGACCTTGTAGTTGGTCCCAACTTATCACAAGAGCCAACCTCAGACAAGGAAAACGAGGCCCAGAGAGGTTTGCTGATTTACCCAGAGACACGCAGACAGCTGAATAGCAGAGTCGGATCAGGAGCGTTTCTGGGAAGCGTGATGCTAATGAAAGCTTGAGGGCCCAGGGGCTGCCATTCCTGGGTCTTGGCTCCGCCCTTCCCTTTCAAGCTGGGTGACCTCTGGCAAGTTACTTGACCTCTTTGATTCCATGGATTGTCATCTCGTATGCAAACGCAGATGCCTACTTCACAGGGTTATTGTGAAGATCAGAATAAGACGGCATATGGAGTGGGTACTGGGAAGGTACGTGCAGCGTGGACCAGCTCTTTGTCAACCATCATTCTAGCCCTGGATGCAACCAAGTGTCCTTAAAGTAACAGCAGCACCAACTCTCACCAGTGAGTCTCACCCACGCTGGTGTAACAGGCAGAGGTGCCCAGTGGACAGAGGTCCTGGGAAGGGGCTCAAACTCGGGTGCTCCAGATAAAAGCAGTCTGCATGGAGGGCAGCTGGCTATGAAGGAAGAGGCTCTGTGTATACACAGTGGCTCTGGCTCTGACTCAGAGTAAATCATTGCGGTCACCCCACAGACAGGGAAAGGGGACCCTCCAGCTCAACCAGGAACTGTGGTGACCAACAGGGACGGGGCTGAGCGCCAGCTTAGTCTGGGGACTTCTGAGGCTCAAGAGCTGGAGTTCCTCCTACGACCGTGAGCATTATCAATAGGTGTCCATGTGACTAGCAGCAGGGGACCGAAGGACACACTGCTGAGTCACTCAGCTGAGACTCAGATTGGTCACTTATGTATTGCTTGTGTCACTGGATGAGTTGTCTGACTTCTCTCTGTCTTAGTTTCCTCATGAAATGACAGACCAAACCAGCCATGGCATGTGGAATTACCTTAAACAAGTGAGTTACAAGTGCCGGGTATTAGGACCACGATGGGGTTATTAGTGGGTCAGTATTGAGCCCCGGCGCTGGAAGCCATCACAGGGAGATGGGAGGCCATTTGAGGTTTACGGGATAGGAAGCAACCGGTTAGGATGAGGAGAATAACCAACAAGAGTGTGGTGTCTCCATCGTCAGGCACCCTGGAACCCCTCAGGACGGGTAAGCTTTACTTGATTCCTGAGAGGGGAGCAGGAAGTGGCAGTGTCATCAAAATTGATAGGAGTCAGGGACTTGAAGAGCAAGGTCTCTTGTCCAGTGCCAGGAGTACCTGTGACCAATCTCAGAGAAGAGCCAGAATTGGCGGTCACCAAGTTGGCCTGTTGTGCCGCCAGCTCTACTCAGCGCCTGTCCTCAGCACCTGTTCTGTGCCAGGTGTGGTGCAGGCCTCTGACCGCCAGCATTCAGCAGCGGGCGGGGAAGCAAATGTCATCACCTGCCTGTTTCCAGGCACCGACCCAAGGCTCAGAAAGATGAAGTGACACGCCAGAGACGTGGGAGAGCCAGGATTCAAAGCTGAGCCTCCCAGGCCCCAGTTTCCATTCTCTGTTTACTCTACCTGTGCTCAGGGGACTGAAGGTGACTAACAGGCTCTCAGGACCCAAGTTCTTAGCAATGTTTAAAGATCCACGAAAGGAAAAGGAACACAACGCAAAACAAAAACAAACAAAAAAATGCCAGGAAGATCGAAGTTGCAACAAGAGCAATCAAAATCGACTCTCACATGAACCCACACATGGTAGTTTATAAATCACGTTCACCCTTATTATCTCAAAGACCCTGTGAGGAGTTATTATTGGAGTAACAAGCAGAGTTTTTGCACTGGAGGAAACTTGAGCTCAGATATGCCATTTTCTTGCCAAGGCCCCATCACGGTGAAAAGGCGATGTCAGGACTTAGCCTAGGTCTGTAATCCCAAGGCCTATTGTCGCCTGGCCTCGCTGCATGGGTGTTCTCCACCAGTGTCACCTCTGGTCCTGGTGAGGTCTCCACTTCCTCAAAGGCTGTACCCTTTCTGTGCAGCTGCAGAGGGACCAGGGAAGTCACAGGGGACAGCCCTCTGCCTTCTGTTGCCCCACTGGGAACAGCCATTCCTCTCACAGGGTGGTGGAAGGGGAACAGCTTGTCTCTCACCAGGCCCTTCAGAGAAAGTGGCCATCTTAGTTTTCCTGCTGCCCTAAGAAACCACCACAAACAGAGTGGCTTCAAACAACACAAATGTCCTACCTAACCGTTTCCGGAGTTCCCAAGTCCAGCCCGCGTCTCCTAGGCTGAAATCAAGATGTCAGCACGTTTCATTCCTCCTGGGGTTCTAGGAGCCAATGTGTTTCCTGCTCACTGGGGCTTGTGACAGAATTCAGTCCCTTGAGGTGGAGGACTCAGGTCCCCATTTTCTCACTGGCTGTAAACTAAAAGGCCATTCTTAGCTCCTAGCGGCAAACCTTTATGGGCCCCATCCTCTACCCTCAAAGCCAGCAACACTGAGTCCAATCCTTCACACGTCCATCTCTCTGACACACTCTTCTCTTCTGCTTTGAAGGACTCATGTCACTAGGCTGGGCCTAGCTGGATAATCTTGGACAGTCTCCCATCTCAAGGTCCTTGACCTTGGTCACATCTGCCAAGTCCCTTTGCCTTGCGAGATAACATAGTCACAGGTTTGGGGGATCGGGATGTGGGCATTTTGAGGGTCACTTCTGCCTACCACAGCGGTCTTGTCTACTGTTTCTTCTAAAGAAAGCCAGCTTCCAAAGGATGTAGTGAGCAGAGTCAAACTCTCAAGACCAGATTCCTCGGGTCAAATCCCAGCTCGCTCACTTAACATCTGTGACATCTTGGACCAGACACACAACCTCTCTGGGCCTCGGTGTCCCCATCTGCTAAATGGTGACACAATCATTCTTCCAAACATTGAATGAGGTTTTGCAATAAAATACTTCAAACCTCTGGCCCAGTCCCTGGCTCATATGCCCAGTTCTTTTTTCCATTTTCCCTGCGGCAATTACCTGAGAGCTGAAGAGTGGGGAGTCTCTAAACTGGGGATTCCATTGTAGGGTTTCAGAGGACCAGGAGATCCCTGAAATTACATGGAAAATGGGGTGAAACTGTATCTGCACATGTCTCTCGGGAGAGGCGTCAGAGCTTCCATCACATTCTCAGGGGGATCGGTGCCAACGGTCAGCTGGTGACTGTTTAACAACCGGCTTTGCAGAGTGGGGTGAGAAGTCCTCCTTTGTAACATTTGCCAATTTCCATGGTGTAAATACCCCCACCATAGACAGTTTCCAACGCCCAACGTGACGTCATGGAACACGGAGCTAGAAAAAGACGTGCGCATGGGCTCCCGTGGGCTGGGGCAAGCTGGCGCCAGCCCACCGCTGTCTATGACCCCAGAGGGCCCCAGAGTTCCTCTTTGGGGGCAGGGCCTGGCATTCCAGCCCATCTGAAGTGTTGGATTAGAGGGCCTGTTATGTATGAGGACTTCTGTTTTGTTTTTTCCTCAGCCGGGCTGATCTTTATCAGGATGCTGGAGTTATTTTGAACAACTGAAGGAGGGGTGGACAGCGAGAACCTTAGAGGGGGGCGTTTGGGATTGGAGGACCCAGCCTTCAGTGAGTCTGGGCCCTGGTAGAGCATCCCAGGACCCTGTGGAGGAAGAAGACAGGATTGGGATGTAGTATCAGCAGAGGAAACACAGGAGAACAAACATGCCAGGGCCTGACAAGGTAAAAGGCGACGCTCAATGGCTGAGTGGCCATGGTGTTTGAAGTTTGGGGGACAGGGCAGTCCGTGAATATTGATTTGGCTTCTTTGCTCTGTTCTGGGTTTGAGCACTGATAAACCAGATACACAGCCCCGTGGCAGTCATATAGGCGTATGGTCCTGCTGGTTTTATTTAAACTTTAGTTGCTATTTTTGGTCATAATACTCTAGTCACACTTCCCCCAATCTGACAGTTACTGTCCGGTGTTCAGGCCAGGTCCGGATCATCACGTGTGGTCACGTGTGGGTGTGGGGGGCTAGGAATGCTCCCTCTCGAGCTGGGCGAGCTCAATTCAGACCCCACTTCCATCACTGATTCTCTGAGACTTGGTTTTTCTCTCTGTACAATGGGTCTGATCACCCCTGTTCAGCCTCCCACGAGGTATCAATGGATGCTCATAAAGAGAGGGTGTGTGGAAATCCCTCTAAAAATTACAAATTGCCATCCAAGGAAGAGCTACTGCTGCTGATGTAGGTGATGTGACATTTAGCCAGATTGTGGGAAGCACTGACCGGCCACATAGCTTGAGAGATGATTGTGTGTGGTTCAGTTTCAGGATGTGAGTATAGTTCAGGGAAGATGGTGGCAAAACGTAGGATGTCAGGACAAGACCGCACTCACGCCACATTTGCAGAATGCTTACTGTGTGTCCTGCTCTAAATAGGTGCTGGGGATAAAAGAGGAACAAGTAAGCCATGCCATCATGGACTCCCAGTCTAACAGGAAACGCATAGAAGCCAACATTTAAAAAGAGAAAATGCCGTGAGTTATGTGACAGATCGAGAGAGAGGGAGATGCCCAATGATGGAGTCGTGTTTACAAAGTGCCGTGAGAGGAGAGGCAAAAGCGATACCGTTTGTTTCAGGGAAGGGAATGCAGAGAAGTCTGTGGACAGTTAGAGAGGGGAAATCTCACTCACTTCTGCCTTGAAGGATGAGTAGGGGTTTAGCCCATTGGCAAAGCGGGGAGGGGTGTTTGGGGCAGAGACTCAGTGCGTGTGATGCTGTGGGGTCTGCGCTTTGTAAGGAGGACAAGTATGGAGGCATTGGGGCAAAATGGGAGGTTCTGCAACAGGTAACAGAGTCCCCAACACGCTGGGCCACATAGACTGTACTAAGAAGTACATCATGCTGCAAAGTGAAATTGGAGTTTTTCCTGGCCCAGGAAAATAAAAAACTTTGGAACCACAAAATGACATGCTCGCTAAGGTCCTTTAGGCTCAGTTCTATAAAAGGTGTGAGAATTGAGGCCGGAGCAATGGAGGGCCACATCTCAAAGCGGGCAGGGGACACTGGCCGGGCAGTTTGCAGGCTGCATTTCTTTTAGAACCATTCCTGTAGCAAGATGGGAAGTGAGAGATCACAGGGTCTATCTAAGAAAGACAGATGGTTGGCTCTTTTACTTCATGGCCCCTCCCTACCTTACTTTTCAGCCATCCCACTCATCTTAAATCCTGCTGGTGTGGATGTGCCGGGAAGCTCAGCTCACATTCCAGCAAGACAAAAGCCAAAAGCCTCACTTCAGAGATTATTCCTTGCGCTAGCTCCTGACTTGAGCTCGGCTTCCAGTAAGAGGGAGCCTCACTTATGGACACTTAGGGCTAATCTGAGAGCACGATGACTGAGGTGGAACCCCCAAAGGAGTATGCCTGACCGTGGCTCTGCTGACACAATGACCTGAGCTGGGAAGGTGGGCTGAGCTGGGCTCCCCTCCAGGTGAGGAGAGAGCATGGGTAGTGTCTTTCTTGACCGAAACAAGCCATGTGTGCAACGCAGAGGTTGCTCCTGTAAGGACAGTGTGCTGAAGAGGCTTGTGCTGGGGAACGCCCCTTGCTCCAACCCATCTGGTCTGATTGATTTGAGAGCCTGTTGTTTTAGGAATTTCTATTCCTGTTGTTCTGTCTGCAGGAGGAAATTTGTTGACCTCTTCCACATAAAATATACTCCCTTTCTTATCTCTAGCTGGCATCTATAGATAACTTCCTCCAAAGGAAACAAGGGGACAAGGAGAAATAAAAATCATTCTGCTTCCCAGGCTTTTATTTTGAGGGGTTGAGGCCATGTTAAATCACTTACAAAAAGAAGCTTGTTGGGTGCCGGCCGAGTGGCTCAGTTGGTTAAGAGTTGGCTTAAGAGTGTGAGCTCTGAGCAACAGGGCCGCCGGTTCAATTCCCACATGGGCCTGTGACACTGCACCCGAGCTGAGTTGTTGCTGAGCTGCCAACAGGTGGCAGGATGGTTCAG